GGTCGAGCGAAATGAGATGAAAATGAAATGAATTATTATAAAACGCCATTCAATTTCGTCTCCCCCTATGAACATGTAAGTAAGTCATACTTTGAGATTATTTTATCAACTCACCCGAGACCACGCATTAAAAAATACAATTACCAGTAAAGGCTAATATTAATACATTTACAATCAAAGAGAGTCAAAAACAATTATTTCCGCAATTCAAAACCAGGCTTAAATCAAATAAATGTCACACGAACAATGTAATAGTAAGAAACGTTGTGGGCCGTGCCAATATTTGTGAAACCTGATCAGAGCGGCTGCGGACCAAAATTTAATTACGAACGCGTTTGCTTACATAGTACCAATAAAGACTCAATGTTTGATACAATATTACTTTATTGATAAAATATATATATGGTTAATATTAGCTAGTTCTACGGCTATATTCTTATAATAACCAGTGTAAATTCTAACTACTGAAGTACAATTACCTTTGAACTTAGGTGCATTAATGCAATATGCACTTGTAAAAAGGAAAACATCTGAAGAAACTGGAGGAAAGACGACACCAAAATCAATGAAACAGACGAAGAAATGCTTAGAAAGGATCTAGTATTTGAGTTCGTATGGGCGGGTCATACAAGCAGTAGAACATAAAATCTTTTTTTTTTTAAATACTAAACAGTATCAAACGAAAATTAGTGATACAGTATATGATACCGTATTTCCCTCATTTCTGGTTTTTTTTTCTATCTATGTTTGCTTGCATAGTCATTTTGTATGATGATTTGATATTTTAAAAGTGTACCGAGAGTTTTTTACGCCGGCTTATTCTCTCGGCCTACACCCTCTATCTTCTTTGCCGATTAGTAGGGATGGCTACCGATACAAATTTAATGACATGGAATAAGTGATACCAGTATCTTATATTCCGTAATAAATATATTACAAATGAAATTGGCGTATTTCGTACTGGCCACTTTAATCACGATTAAACGACCTCTTTGGTAAGGAATTCCAAATTCAAATTTGTACAGCTATTTACTCATGTATTTGTGCTTCAATGACCGTCATTCATTTGTTTTTCTTTTTTTTTCTGTTTGCGTCACTCATTGTACAAAATGTAAAACTTAAAGTATCGCATTATTGACGAGTACGAGTTCCGCCGTGGCACTAGTGCTGCGGAAACGACTCGAAGGGTGAATGATGTGTATGGCGGTCATGTTGCAAAAGAAAACACAGTTCGTTTTTGGTTCCAACGTTTTCGTTCTGGAAATTTCGACCTGCAGAACAAGCCCCCTGGACGGCCTGAGACCCAAGTTGATAATGAAGTATTGAAGGCTATTGTGGAAGCGGATCCATCGCAAACCACGGCCGAGTTAGCTGCCGGCTGCGGTGTTAGTGATAAAACTGTTTTAATTCACTTGAAGCAAATTAGGAAGATTAAAAAGCTTGAAAGATGGGTACCTCACGAATTGACTGAAGCAAACTGGCATACGCGCGTCGACTGCTGCGTTACATTACTGAACCGGCACAATAATGAAGGTATTTTGAACCGAATCATTACCTGTGATGAAAAATGGATTCTTTACGATAATCAGAAGCGGTCAGCGCAATGGTTGGATCCTGGCCAGCCAGCCAAATCCTGCCCCAAGCGAAAATTATCCCCAAAAAGTTACTTGTAAGCGTTTGGTGGACTAGTGCCGGTATTGTTCATTGCAGTTTTCTCAAATCTGGCCAGACTATTACGGCTGATGTCTATTGTCAGCAATTGCAAACCATGATGGAAAAGCTAGCGGCTAAACAACCTAGGCTGGTCAATCGCTCCACGCCACTGCTACTTCACGACAACGCTAGACCACACACTGCACAACAGACGGCTACCAAATTAGAAGAGCTTCAATTGGTATGTCTAAGACATCCTCCGTACTCCCCGGACCTTGCTCCAACAGATTACCATTTTTTTCGAAATTTGGACAACTTCTTGCAAGGGAAAAAATTTAACTCTGATGGGGCAGTCCAAATCGCCTTCACAGATTTTATTGATTCCCGTCCGACTGTTTTTTTTAGTAAAGGGATCAATGAACTACCTATGAGATGGCAAAAGTGCATAGAAAACATTAGTTCATACTTTGATTAATTAAATATATTATATTTAAAAATATTCGACTTTTTGTTCCTCCCATACAAAACGCCTATTTCATATGTAAGGAGCTAATATTGTAATTTATTTATAAGTCCTAAAACCATATGTATGCTTAAAATGTACAAGACAAATTTAGATGTCAGAGTGATCAAGATGTTAGAGCATAAAAATGTCAAACTAGCAAGGAAATAATTAAACAGCAAAAAAAAACTTTTGTAAAAAGAAGATTATTGTAAAATATATCAATCAATATTTTCGTTAATGTTAGTAATTAAGTTGTAAGACCGAGATAGCCTAATAACGTAATGTTTGATACAGGTACGGAAACTAAGTAAGTGATGGTAAGTACCTATCCAGTATTATTTGTGTCAGTCCATAAACATATTTTATAGCGTTTTTGGCACACGACTTCGTGTATTTATGGTTTGAGTCCCGGTCACATCTCTTGGGAGTTGGGACGCAAACATTTCAGCTGAGATTGTGTCAGGTTTTTCATTTATTTTTTCTCCTTTTTTATTGCGTGCGATTTTTTGTTTAGATTTAGATTCTTAATTTATAAATTAATGCATTCGAATGAGAATTCTCGTCGAAAACAGGTTCTTGCATCGGCTATCTATGGAGCGTTTTCAGTTGGTTTGTGATGTTTTGATGGCCCAATTTAAAGGGTATTGTGTATGTCATTGGCCTTAGTATATAAGTTAATTATTTAAATTTGTTCGTCGTCCTGGTGGACAGAAAATCTGTCTCCAGCTTGTGTTTCTACCACACTGCTATAAACTTCTTATTCATTTCAGATTATGTATACAATAAATAAATTTAATAAAATAAGTGCTAGTTAATATAATATTTCGGGAATATATGTATAAACATTTATATTAAACGAGCTTTTATGGCGCTATTGTGTTTGTACGGTTATTTTTTAATTTGGACATTAAATTAAGGCAATAACTATATCTAGTTAGAACTATGTATGCTATATATAATTAATTAGTGACTAGATATCAATTATATTAAAGGTTTCTCTCTATTCAAGCATACATGACATTCAGAAGTCTGATTTTTTTTCGTTTGTGTGCATATATGTATATATTTTTCAGAGACTAAGTACTAAATAAGACCTAAAACTTAATAATATAAATCTATATTAGTGCGGTTAAATCAATCAATCATCTGTTGACACTTCACATGAACTCATCCATCAAGAAATTCATTAGCCTTGCGTCGACATTTCTTGAATCACGCCCCATTTAATACTATATAGTCTCAGGTTTCTGTCTCAGTTTGAGAAACGTAACGTTTTTAAACCTTATTTAATTTTGGCGTGTGCATATTATAAGTACCATAGTTATTTTGTTGTCTATTTTATCCCAAATTGGTGTTCTAAATTTCAAAAACAAAAGCATGGTTGCTTATAAATAAAATTATCAATTAAATAGATGAACGGTTTTTTTACCGAACATAACCTATAAATTTTTGATGAAGAGCTACCTTGTAATGATCTCTCTCGTTTTAACGGATTTAGTCTATCATTGTGCAATAAACGTGTACAAGGTACCTTTACCTGCTGCTGGATGAGTTATAGCAATCTAAATATTACATAAAAGTGCTTTATAAATAATCCAATAATTACCCTTAACTTAAAAATTCTTAAAGTATAGCCTGTTCATCCATTGAAATGCACTCGGCTCCAGATCAACAATACTAAGATTATGTAGACCCAGAAGGAGATATCGTCAAAGTTCCTGTTCCTCTACCCTGAATTCAGCCTGAGCTTTATGAAACAAGCTTAGCGCCCTGGTATATGGGATGTGTTACTTCTTATTCAAGATTTACTTATGATACCCATCGTCACTGCCCCATCATCAGCAGTTAGTATTCTTAGATAATATAACTTATTTTTTTCAACTCCACTTTTGAATACTACTGCTGAAGCATAGATATAAGCATAGCACCGTAAAGACACCATTTAATTCTGGTAGTAAAACAAAAACCATCGTAAATTATTTAATACATAATAATTATTATATTTAACAACAATTGGAATATAACTATTATTTACATTACAACATCACTGTCTCGTCTTTCATTTACAAAATTTACAATTATTGAACGAAATTCTACTATTTGGTCAATATAGTTTTGATTAAACAAAATAAGTTAGTTTATAGAACATTAGTTTTGAATATTAATCGGAATTTTAGTAAAGAGTTAATAATTAATCCACTCTCACTCGCATAACTAAACATAGGTCGCTGGTTCAGATCCGGCTCGAAGGACCAAAATGTACGGTTCCTAAAAATCGGGGTGCTTCAAATAATAGAGGAATTTAGTTTTATTCTATATTAACCTCTCGCATACAACAATAGAATATAAGAGAAATAATCAAATGTTAATTTCTATGTAACGAATGAATGCAATGTAATAGTTGAAGAGAGTTCCTACGTTTGGATATACTCTCGGGGAATAACTCCGACGATTTAGGTAATCGTCACGCTTATAAAACTAAGAAAGCCTGAGTGGGCAAAATATACAGCCTTGGCTTATACTTATAACCTTGGGTTATACTTTAAAGCTAACATATACCGTAGATATAAATAAACACATTAATAATAATATGGACTTGGTCTGCTTGAATAAATAAATAATAATTATTATTATTTTAGTAGAGTAAGATTTATGGAAAAACTAAAGGCAACAACTCCTGGTTTCCAATATCAATACGTACTAGAAAAAATAACGAATATTGCGAAGTGAAAGCGGATTAATAACCAATATTAATTTCGTTAACATTTAAGTTTTCTATCTTAACAAGTATTATTTTCGTAAAGATCGATTATAATACAATAAACAAAACAGTAAAATGGGTTTAAACTGAATTATTATTAGGACTATCTTTACATGGATCGTTCTCTATAACATTCGAATTAATTTCACAACATACATTATCATCTATAATTCTACCTACATCACAACACATTTTGTTATCTACATCTTCCGATTTCTCAACAATTATATCTACTGTCGGTTTAAAGTCATCTCTGATAATTTTGTTCAAATCCGGAGGTCGGACAGTTGACAAGGTGCTGGATAGAAATGATGATTGCAGGTTGTACCCTGGTAAGAGTTTTGGTTGCAAGGGTAGCATCAGATCTAATGATCCGGTTGTGGCAGGCCGTGGTTGTAAGGGCGGGGCAGTCATCAGGGGAGGTTGTAGTGATGCCAACGATATGGTAGCGCATTGCGTGTTTACTATCGGGCTCTCGACTGTAAATAACAAAATAACTTTAAAGTTTTCTATACGCTGCAACTCCCAATTATGAAAATGTTTAAAAGCTTTAGTCATATTTTAAATATGTCATATGTTAGTAACTATTTTATTCTTAAAAGGCCGGCAACGCACTCGCGAGCCATCTGGGATTGAGAGTGTCCATGGGCGGCTGTATCACTTAACATCAGGTGAGCCTGCTGCCCGTTTGCCCTCTGTTCTATAAAAAAAATATTTAATCCGTTTTCTTTTTGGATACTTGTGTTACTACTGGTGAACTACAGTAGATTTTATTTCAATTCTCAAAGTGTTTGGATAAGGTTTTTGGATCGGAGAGCTTATGTGGTTAAGGTTGGAATCGAAAATTACCTATAGGAGCCCGAGCTTGTAGTGGCTGTACCGTGGGCGGAGGACGAAGTACATTCGGTGGACCTTGTAAAGCCAAACTAATCATGTTCATGCCGTTTACACCTGTAAATATAACAATAATAATACTGAAAATCAAATAGTATAAACATTATTTCCGTAACCAGCTTCATTCTTAGAGAGAGAGAAAAATAAATGTAGTAAAATAACTGCACTTTCAAACCAAATACTGCGTAAGTTATTGCCTCAGGTAAACTAAAAATATTCAACAGATTTCGCTGTGTTATTGAAGTATTCTATTGAATAGTCAAAAGTAAAAAATCATTTTTTCATATAGGTAACACAAAGTACACGTATGAACGTCAAAAAAGAAATATACATTAAATGCTTCTAATTTTACATTTACTGCCAGTAAATCAAGGGCGTAGAACGGAAGAGAAGAACTATACTACGAAAATTAACATTATCGCAACATAATTATTTTTTCTGATCCCTCATATACAACGTCGATAAACTAGTATTGAAAATAAAAAAAATAACAACGTAAGATTTCCTAATCCACGCCATCTATGATTCATCGACGAAAGTTTTGTCCTTACCGAACTTGTTAGCTCCCTGAAGGTCCTTTAACACAACCGGGTGTTTCACGGCATTCACGCGACGATTTGAGGCGGTGGCGTCGCGTTTCCTTCGGGGTTGTTCAACGGGTAACACTCGACGTCTCTTCTTCGGAAGTTTTGACCGCGCCTGTCGATAGAGGGCGCTAAATTAAATTTAGTTACACAGTCAAATGTAAGTTATACTCGTAGGAAATTGACCTCATTTGTAAAATGAATCAATTTATAATGTATATTTTCAGCTTCCATGCATATTAGGGTAACAAATTCTAATAGAGACTGAAATCGATTTGACAATTACAAATTATTCGAATCTTATGCACTTACATAATATAATTTTTTAGACACGAAATGTATAATATAAATTTAAATATATTTGTAATATTTTAAACACTCAAATCGTAATTAAATTATTATTTAACATGTCTAACAAATAATATCTAAAACATAAGTGTAAAAAATGGACCTGTTTATATTTAAAACAATTAGTTTTGAAGTGCCCCGTAGCTTCACACGCCTAAATACTTAACTTTGCACTAGATACAAAAATCGTTAATATACACATAACATACTTTATATATAAAGTACATATAACATTACTTATATAAAAAGTATGTTATATAATATACATATATACATACTTTATATATAAAGTCGGCAGACATGTTTTTTTTTTTTTAATTACGAGACCAGTGTTAGCTGTGGTACTGTCTTAGTACTCTATAATATAATATATAACAAGTTAATAAATCAACAATCTAAGTTATAATTACAAAGGCTAATCGCAAGATCGTTGGAGACTCAAATGAAAGTTATAACAATAGCGAAACATTAATTATAAGTTTTAATCAAATATTTTGATAGCTTTTCCTCGAGGTTTTTACACAATTTTTGACAGCTGAGAGGGTTTTGCGTTTTCCCGACAGCTTCAATAGGTCATTAGTAACTTTTTGGTGATTAATCGGATAAATTTCCAATTAAATAAAGAAGAAAATTAACTCTCAACCTGAAGTCCTGTGTTTGAACCACAGCTATGTTCAGATCTTCGCAACGTTCACAAAACTTGGCAACAATAATTAAAAAGAGTGTCTTGCCAGTTCTCGCCCGCTACGCCCTTAATTTGGAAGCTTGTATAAATGTTTTTTTTAAATATTGACGATCGTATCGAATAAATAAATTATCATACTTTCAGTTACGCATTGTAAGGAATTTACCTCAAGGAAAACTTTCATGACGCCATAACAATTTGGCACGTTTATTAAAAAAATTTTGTACAGACAATATTTATTATAGAAAACGATAAAAATACACACGTATTTGTAGAGAATTTCCATTGTAAAAAAATACATCTATTGCATTATAATAAATGTTATTAAAATATTGACGTCCAGTTTAATATATTCCTATATACTCTCGATGATATTATGTTGATTGATGATGATTTTAACGTCAAATACACGCGAAAAATGGGATCGAAGTATAACGTTCCTTGTAGCAGAATTTTTTGCTGACCTTTAACTTTAAAGAAAAAATATCGAAATCGGCAATACATTTTTTTAGCTTGAAAGGCACAAGCTAAGTAATAAACTTAGCTTAGCTTACTAAGCTAATTAGTTATATAATTTAAAAAAAATCAGTGGCGCTACAACCTCTTTAGGTCTGGGCCTCAGATTTCCGAATCTGTTTCATGATCATTTTACAATCTAATAGGCAAGTAGGTGATCAGCCTTCAGTGCCTGACACACGTCGACTTCTTGGGTCTAAGACACGTCGGTTTCCTCTCGATGTTTTCCTTCACCGTTCGAGCGAATGGTCCATTGCTGTACATCGGATCGAACCTACGACCTCAAGGATGAGAGTCGCACTCGGAAGCCATTAGGCCAACACTATAAATGTATATCAATCTTACAAAAACCGGCGGTACAGCGTAGAACTAAGTAATTTCTCAAAAGATCTTACATTTCTGAAATTATATTCTTTTTATTACAAGAAAAGTTTTGTACTGGTCCTCAGTCACCGTGACCACGCACGCTGTAAAGCATGCGAAACGTCGGTTAAATTTAAAACTATGTAAAATAATTCTAAATTTATAATAAAACATAACTTCAAATCCGTTAAAAAGTGTTTCCTCTATCTTTAAGTGTTCAAAAATAAAGTTCCGTAACTAAGACATTCTGACAGATATATTTAACATCTGTTTAATATTAAAAAGCCTAATTAAATAAAACCAACATTTGTATACGAGCTAAGTGAAGCAAAATTTTCCCGAATATTCCGAGTATTTGAGACTTTGGGAGCACTCAAATTTCCGTGGCTTGAGTTTATGCTATGATCACACTGGCTATATCTTGCTATAACTATTTAAAAACATTAAAAGAAGAAGAGAAAGTAAGAGCATTGAAATAAAAGTGATTTTGTAAGGATTAAGGAAATCCTGTAAATATTATTTCTTTTCGTTCTACCGCTTTTCTCATTTTTTAGAAATTGTCCACAGAAAGCGAAAAAGAAGGTATCACTTTATTGACTAAAATTAACATCAAATAGAACAGGCACAACAATTCGTGGCCTGAAAATTCTTTATATATTTTTTCTCGTTCTTTTTTAGACTACCTTAATTTTGAAATTTTAGAAGTAGGTACGTTTTCCTTACAATATATTGGCCGTTTGCCCCTGTTATATAATATAAAAAACTCCTAGGCAAACATTACCCCCATATGTTACTGAAATTTAAAATAAATCTGAAATCCGGCATTGCAGTTACCCATCCAGTGTAGCCACAGCATTAAACCAGGGTATTTTAGAAGTATATTTGAGTGTATGTTTCGTTCCGCTCACACGAGCCATGGTTGAAAACCTTCAAGTACAATACGCCAGTTTCAAGTAATTGCTTGCTATATGAAATCAGAAATGGTTAATTACTGCATAAAATGTTATATGTGCAACGGAACCAGGGTACAGTAAACATAAATATATAAATACCAAACAGTATTTTTTTGCTTCCGAATTAAAGTATTTATTTCCAACATGCAGTCTTTACAATATTCTTAACCGACATAGTAATTATAATAATAATGAAATTATTAATAAATAGAAAATTAAAACAAATTTAAAAAGTTTGGTCCCTGTGGCAGTGTAACGCTGGCAGCTTTTTATCGCTGTATTTCGCCATGCTTATTCGTTAATTTAAGAACCAGCCCTGCGATTCTGTAACTCACTTTTCGAACTCACACAGCGGTTTTCGCATCGGTGGCCGCTCTCAAATCAGTCGTGAAGCAGTCATTTTATGATTTGGCATTCTGAAAAGGTAAGCTTGTAGTTTATTGTTTATCAGAATGCCAAAAGCTCCGGGGTCACCGATACTATCTACCAGGCCCCAACTTAAATCTTAGTGCCTATGCACTTGAACTCCACGGCCTATGAAGCTCGTTCGGATGTTCATGAGCTTCAGGAATTCGTACGCAAATATTCTTCAACATCATGATATACCTTAAGGCTCTTTGTTGGTCCACTTATTACTCCTAATTTCTGTAACGGCTTCTTGGAAAAAATCACCTTGGCCGTAATCATCAGCAAATCAGATCTTCTATTATCCATTTTTCCTCAATTTTCTGACTCACCATTCGCATATTATATTTGCTAAAGATTAGCTTTTTTCTGATAAGACACATGTTACAGCATTTCAACCCTTTTCCTTACAATGAAAGTCTCTGTTCATTTAATTTACAAGTCAATTTGAAAGACTTAACAATACTTAAATTCTAAAGTTTTACCAACTGAATTTTTATTGTCTGAAATTTACAAGTACTTAACATGGTCTTATAGATTCAAAGCTTTAAGTTCTATAAATGTAGACCGTATGTATGTGCAGAAAATATAAATGTTTCGTATGCACCAAGGTATGTGGCTGATGAGTTTTCCTATTTCTAAAAGCCTTTTTTGAGAGCAGGGTTGGCTTAGTGGCTTCAGCGTGCGACTGGGTCGTGGGTTCGATCCCCGGCTGTGCACCAATGGACTTTCCATGTGCGCATTTAACTTTTGCTCGAACGGTGAAGGCAGACATCGTATGGTAACCTGCTTGCCTTCGATCAAAAAGGCGACGACGCGTGTCAGGCAGGAGGCCCAGTAGGTGTACTTGCCTATTAGACAAATAATCATTTACAGATGCAGAAATCTGAGTGCCACTGATTTATTTTAGAAGCTTTTTTTTTGATATCAGGATTATTAATGCCGGAAGGAGGTACTTTGAACGCACCGATATAACCATGATTATTTTCACTTACTATGTATTAAGGTGGAAATACAAATTCGGATTCTTAATAGACATGCAATTATATGCTTTATTTATTGAACCTCAAAGTAGTTATTGCTTTAAAGTGCCGTGCTAAGAGAGTCGTAAATTAACAGGTTGCTGGCAATTTGCACCGCCCCTGATTAAATTGGCCAAGAGTGATTTGTGTCTTCAATTTACACAGTGATCTACGAGTAGGCTATATAGAAGTTCATTAAATGCCAACTACTGTACAACTACGTGTGAATTAACAATGGTAATTTGTTTGTTTTAAAGAAAATGGTGGACATCTTCATACAGATTTTCGGATTCCTCGTGATATTTTCCGCATTCCGCAGCCCGCACTAATTAAATTTTACCGCTCTACTAGCTGACCTGGAAAACGTTTTGCCATATAAATCATTTCTAGTTACTGACCACTGATTATTACAGCTATCGCTAATAAAAGGAGGTTGGTAGTAGAATGTTATTTATTTTTTCACACTTTCACACACACACACACACACACACGTTATATTATTATCGCTAACAAGGAATCTTTTACATGCAATCCTAGTAAGGGAAAATAAATATGATGTGTAAAAGAAGTGCATAACCAAATCTTATAAAAAAATATAGAACCTTAATCTAAAATAATACAAAAAAATATATTAATAAAACAAACTAAAAACTAAAAAAACTTGAAATATATATTAGTTATTAAAAGCCAAATCAAAAACATCACTTAGGAGTATATACAATAAATAACGTAGACCTACCGATACACAAGAAATTTTATAAAAATCAATGGAGACGTTTCTGGGGAGTTTGGTTACAATATCATACGTGAATTTCATATCTATAAATATTGTAGTGGTGTTAAGTTATTATATTCTAATTATATACACATGATAAACGACACGTGTATATAATTAGAATATAAAGCACTGAAGGACACGACATGTCATCAACAATAAGAAGTTAAAAAATCTGGTTCATTAAAAGAACGACGTTTATTTAATAGAAAATTCAATAAAGAAATTTAAACAAATTAGTACCTTTAACTGCAGTCAAACAGTGCATTTTCTTGAAACAGATGGAAAACGCAAACAATTTCCTCTGATGTCCCTCCAACGCTTTAATTTTATATCAAGTCCTCTCATTTGCGTTACCAATTCTGTTTTTGTCTCAAACTTCGCTTGTTATTCGTAACTTTGGCGCATTATGTTAATGTACCTTCAAACGAATAGAATTCAACTTTTTACCAGAATTAAGCGCATGCATACTATTTTAGGTCCTAATAATTTCAGTGTGCTACATTGTAAATTGTATTGGATTTTTACAAATTTTGAAATAAGCTATTGCAAGCTTGATGTTAAAGTGATACCGCCACCCATAGACACACGCAATAGCAGAAGGCTCGCAAGTGCGTTTCCACGTTTTAAGGAATTAGTACGCTATGCTTCATTGTAAATTATATTGTTTTGGATTTATTACAAATTTCGAAATAAGTTGTTGGACAGGGCTCCAGCTCGTTAAAGTGATACCGCCACCCATAGACACTCACATTGGCAGAAGGATTGCGAGTGCGTTGCCGAAATTTTCAGTATTGGTAAGCTATTTTATTAAGGGAAGGAATATACTTCAATGAGCGTGTGGTTTTGCTTAGATGGAGTGCAGCAAAAATTGCTTTAAAAAGCCTTCGTGGAACGTACATGACGATGTAATAGCGGAATGGCTCACCTCTTTACACCCGGAGCCGATTTAATTCGTCTGCCAACAAAAACGTCAGAGCTTCCGTACCCTAGTATACGAATTACAATATAATGTAAAAATTGTATAGTCTGCGTGGAAAGAGAACTGACGTGCCACGTTTTTTGCGGGTTTTTCTACGCGTCTTTTCATTTACTCACTAAATACTATAATTATTTCAATAAGTATACATACTACTGTCAAATTATATTGCAAACGTAACAAGACGACTCATTGGTCTAGCGGTTAGTACCCCTGACTGCGAATCCATGGGTCCCGGGTTCGATCCCCGGCTGAGACGAACATCGATGAGCATTTGGTGTTGTGCTTAGGTCTTGGGTGTTTAAATATGTATTTATATGTCTATCTATCTATAATATGTATGTATATCCGTTGCCACCCATAGACACACGCAATAGCAGAAGGCTCGTTTAGTACTCATAACACAAGCTTCACCAGCTTAGCATGGGACTAGGTCAATTGGTGTGTATTGTCTTTAAAAAAAAAAAGAAAAGAAAGGCAGCATTGCACGACGGCTTTCTTTCCGCACGGACAACCAGCATCACCAACACAACAAGTACTTGTTACAAATGACTAGATATTTTCTAGAATGTTAATGTATTTGAAAACCGATATGCTTCGTAAATGGAAGCTTCTTTAACTTAGCTATGCTATTATAATCTCGTGGTGAACATTCTCAGTTCATTTGCAATTCGTCTAAACCACGAGTGCTCGCAATAAAATACAGGCGAAGTCGCGATAGCACTTTAAAATGAATATATTACGGTATGCGTGGCTTCTGTTAGCAGCGGAAACGATTTTAAAATTATATTAATTGATATCACATCTTTTACTTATGTGTCGTGAATACCATCAATTTAAATGAAGTAATGAAATTATCTTCTTCTTCTGCTGCCACTTTATTGGTAAAGATTGGCTTTTAACAACTTAAATTGCCGGGTAACTTGCGCTACCAATGTTCTGACACTACGACTTCTTCCTTTTACCTGGGCAAAATTCAAGCCTTCACTTTTCCCCATCATTATAAGCTGCAACAAGTAGTTTCGTGTCCGAGATATTCGACTTTCCGTATTTTAACAGTCTGCATAAACTATACTATATAAATTATATAACAAAGAATAAAATGTGTTTATTCTTTATAACAATGCATTAATGTAATGCAGGAATGCTTTTAAGTATAAAAAAACCTGTGTCAGGGTTCCCAATAACATACTTAATAGTTACTTTCATAACAAAGTTAATACAATTTATTAGCTTTTTTTTTCAATTACAAATTTTGTTTTTTTTCAAAATGTGTGTAGTTTGTGGGTGCATGTAAGTGAATGTGTGAGAAATTATAAAAATAAATTATCGCGATTTTGAAAATGAACAAAATATTTCAAAATTATTATTAGTAAATGATTTTAGTACCTATCAAACTTATAAAAGTTTTTCTACTAAGTTATTATTAAAAAGTACGAACCAATGTTGTACTTCTCAGCTATAAAATTTAAGGCGCGGCGATTATCAAAATCGTCGAAGTCCCGAGAGTATAGTCAGTCGACACTTGCTTAAGATTTTTAATTAGCATAGTCAACAGCGACAGAACGTAAAAATTAACTGTATGCTCGAAATGATCGTATTATTATAATTAGTATAGCAACGACGCCATGGCAATGCTTTTTCAAAATACCGAATCCTGTCGTCCTTCCGCCTGTGTCACTGACTTGGACGACACCATTTTATTCACAGAGAATTTAATTTAATTTAGCCGTGCCTCAGTACAGTTCGATTCTAATATATTCAGCACGAACTTCACGGAAAC